ACTGTTCCTGGAAGTAGCACATGATCAAGAACCGTTCGTATTGAAGGAAGAAGTCCAAGCTGCACCGAAGGCATTGGTGAAAAACAAGGCTCCAGAAATTGATGGAATACCAATAGAGATGTTTCAACAAACAGATACAGCGCTGGAGGTGCTTACTCGTCTGTGCCAAGAAATTTGTAGGACAGCTACCTGGCCAGCCAACTGGAGGAGGTCCATATTTGTGTATATTCTAAAGAAAGGTGATCCAACAGAGTGCGGAAATTATCAAACAATATCATTAATTTCACACACAAGTGAAATTATGCTGAAAATCATTCAAAAGTGGCTGTAGCAGTACATTGACAGGGAACTGCCAGAAGTCCAAGCCAGATTTAGAAGAGAACATGAAACTAGGGATATCATTGCTGATGGCAGCTGGATCTTGGCTGAAAGCAGAGAATACCAGAAAAATGTTTACCTGTGTTTTATTGACTATGCAGAGGCATTGGACTGTGTGGATCAAAACAAATTATGGATTACATTGCGAAGAATGGGAATCCCAGAACATTTAATTGTGCTCATGCGGAACCTATACATAGAACAAGAGACAGTTGTTTGAACAGAACAAGGAGATACTGCGTGGTTTAAAGTCAGGAAAGGTGTGCGTCAGGGTTGTATCCTTTCACCATACTTATGAATCTGTATGCTGAGGAAATAATATGAGAAACTGGACTGTAGGCAGAATGCAGTGTCAGGATTAGAGGAAGACTTGTTAACAACCTGTAATATGCAGATGACACAACCTTGCTTGCTAAAAGTGAAGAAGACTTGAAGTATTTACTGATGAATATCAAAGACTACAACCTTTAGTATGGATTGCACCTTAAGATAAAGAAAACAAAAATTCTCCCAACTGGACCAATAGCAGCATCATGATAAACAGAGAAAAGATTGAAGTTGTCAGGGATTTCATTTTACTTGGATTCACACTCAGTGCCCATGGAAGGATCAGTCAGAAGATCAGACAACTATTGCATTGGGCAAATCTGCTGCAAAGACCTCTTTAAAGTGTTAAAAAGCAAAGATGTTACTTTAAGGACTAAGGTGTGCCTGACCCAAGCCATGGTATTTTCAGTCCCCTCATATGCATTTGAAAGCTGGACAGTCAATAAGGAAGACTGCAGAAGAATTAATGCTTTTGAATTATGGTGTTGGTGAAGAATATTGTATATACCATGGACTGCCGGAAGAACGAACAGATCTGTCTTGGAAGAAGTACAGCCAGAATGCTCCTTGGAAGCGAGGATGGCGAGACTTCGTCTCATGTATTTTGGGCATGTTATTAGGAGGGATCAGTCCCTGGAGAACGACATCATGCTTGGTAAAGTCAGCTAAAAAGAGGGAGGAGACCCTTAACATGATGGATTGATACAGTGGCTGCAACGATGGGCTCAAGCATAACAACGATTGTGAGGATGGCACAGACTGGGCAGTGTTTCATTCTGTTGTACATAAGGTAGCTATGAGTCAAAACCGACTCAATGGCCCCTAACAACAACATCCATTTTTGGCTGAAGGTGTACTTTGGGAGTGGCTGCAGTTCTGAGTTAGCAGTGTGTCCGGGGCAAGAGTTTCAGGGGCTTTGCCTGTTTTTTGATTGGATTGTTTTCTTATTGTTGTTGAGGTGTTGAAGATCTCTATGTATTTTAGAGATGAGGCCCTTGTCAGATATGTTGTTAACCAAAAAAATTTTCCCAGTCTGTAGATTCTCTTTTTACTCTTTTGGTAAAGTCTTTTGATGAGCATAAGTATTTAATTTTTAGGATGTCCCGATTATCTAGTGTATCTTCTGTCGTTTGTGCATTTTTAGTTGTATTTGATAGTGTCCTTTTAATTTTTTAATATTTTTTTTATTGAATGAATTTTGAAACTCTTATTGTCGAGGTAATGTATGTCTTCATTATAGAAAAGGAAATGAAAGTGGTAGAGAGGTAAAAAGTACATAAAGAATATTCAGTCCTTTTCACTCAGATAATTATTACTTTCACCTTTTGTTTTTGCTATTGCAAACAATTTGGAATATAAAAAATTGGTTGCAAGTAATTAGAAATCCAAAAGAAAAAGAATTAAAATAAAAATTCGGAATTTTATGATAAGTTGCCCAAATGCATAAGTGGTTGTAAAGTCATTCCAAGAGGAGAATGACAGGAGTTCTGGGATCAGACAAACATGGGTTAATATCCTACTGATTAATAGCTGGGTGACTTGAGATAACTTTCTTATTCCTCCATATGACTTAGGGTCCTTTGTAAAAATGAAATGACAATGCTCACCTCATGAGATTATTGGGAGATTCACCAAAATACCAATTGTAATTGCCATTTAACAGTTAAATGTATAATTTTTTTGATCACAGGATAACAAGTGTTTGCTATAATGTAAGGTGGCTAGTTTATTTTTGAAAAGGATACAGTTTTTGACCAGAGATAGAAGATTTTTGATTATGAAGTTAAATACTAAAATATATATATATATATATATATATATGCACTCTCAGCTTAGTATTCATGTTGGCATTCTGGGATAAGCATTGGCTAGATTTGGTTAGGATTTACCAGTTGACAAATTTAGACTGAAGCAAACCAGTTACTGTCCAGTTGATTGTGACTCATAGCCACCCTATAGGACAGGACAGAGTAGAACTACCCCATAGGGTTTCTAAGGAGCAGCTGGTGGATTCAAACAGCTGACCTTTTGGTTGGGACTGTATGTGATCTGTGACAGTATAATGCTAGAGCAAATTGTTTGTAATTATTCTCTTTGTTTCAACCCCACATTATTTATGAAGAATTCAAAACAGAGATTGCTGAGACTGATTCTAACAAATGGCATAAAAAAGCTGCAAACACTGCTTTCCTTTGTTTTGCCTAGTGCAGTGTAGTTAGAATTCTTGCTAGACAACCTTTATATTGTATAAAAATTTTCTGAATCATAATTTGAAAGAAAATATTACTTATAAAATAGCACATTATATTTGGCCCACACTAATGCCCCTTCATAAAATAATTTCTTAGAAGTAGGGTGAAAGGACTTTAAGAAAAAATTATTTAGTGTAAATTGAGGGGTGTTAAAGATATGATTCGGTCCCCTTCAATTTTACCTTTACTGCTTTATTATTTACTTCAGCTTAGTTTTGGGGGAGGATAGACACAGATGAAGTTAGATATTTTTGTTTATTTTTGCCTTCTTCTATAAGAATAATTTTAGTTTTCAGTCATCAAATTACTTAATAATGGCACTAAAAATTTTACACACATGTCCAGGCCTTTGGATAATTTTCAACTGTAAAGAAAATCTAGGAAAAGCAAACATTTTCTTTTTGCTTTTGTTCTTCCTCAAGGATATACTTTTTCTTTTTCTTTTTAAATTAAATATTTATTTAACTTACATTAAAGAATTATTTAGTTATGATCTGCTGACTTACAAGTACAGTTAGATCTCTTAATCATTAAATCAATATTCAGTAGAAAAACCAGTTAAAATGGATAACAGAAAAGGGAAAAAAATACTAGAATATCTTAGTTGTGGAAAACTTAGAGATATTGAGTTCATAAATTAATTCTGACCTTTCCAACAATCAAGACAAAAAGGGAAACAGTGTATTATGTAACTTTTCAATGTCTGATAGTAGATGAGGAACACTTAACCTGTGTCACAAAATGGAGTGGGAAAGGGAAAGGGAATTATGCCTTATGGATAGTTATGCCTTTTCAGATTTACATTACAGGTTGTTTGTAGTTTGAGTCTTCTAAATACAAATCTTTGTGTTCTCTGCACTTTGTATCTGTTGACATCCGTGTGATTTGAATCTTTATAATAATTAATTGGTAAAGAGTTTGCTAATTGGAAGATAACCTAAGGAAATACTGTTGTTAAATGTGGAAGATAATCTAGTAAATATAGTGAAGCTTGCCATTAAAGAAGGAGTTTGAATATGTGACTACATGTGGTAAAAATGTGATAGAATTATAATTAGGCTAATGTCTTAGAATTAGTTTTTACAATAAGTTACACTGTATTTTCTGGCCATAGTTAGTGATTTTAAAATGTGGTTATAAAGTCACGTTTATTTTCCTGCTGATTACTGTCTGTATTTTGGTCTCTCCAAATAGACTGTATGAGATGCTTGAGGCAAGAAGTCCTGTATTACTTGTGAATTCCCTATTTGTCTAGCCTAATACTTTTTAAGGTATTTTCCATTGTAGTAGATATGGCAGTTTTTTGTGACTAAATAAGGAGTCCTGGTTGCACAATGATTAAGCACTCGGCTGCTAACCGAAAGGTTGGCAATTTGAAACCCTCCAGAGGCTCTGTGTTAGATAGACTTGGTGATCTGCTTCCATAAAGATTACAGTCAAGAAAACCGTATGAGGCTGTTCTACTCTGTCACGTGGTATTGTTTTATGAGTTGAAATCGACTCAGTGGCACCAAACAACAAGGTGTTTAAATGGGCTTGGCCACATACATAGCTTTTGGTTTTTTTATTTCTTCTCCAGAGCTTCATCCTCATGTTTGTAGGTTTAGAAACATTATTTTAATAAATTATCTCCAGTACTAACATACTAGTCAGTGAAGCCATGCTAAGTAGGTACACATCTGAAATGAAGGAATAGACCGTTTGCACCACCCAGAAACTTGGAGCACGGGCACTTGGTTTGTTGATATTTCTTTATTGGAACACCAAAATTATTTAACAGGAGAAAGAGTGGTGAGAATAATGTGAGTCAGATTGGATTGCTTTTGAGAAATGAGTTTAAAATTTTGCTTCTAGTTTAAAGTTAAAAATTAATGAACAGAAGGAAGTTATTGAATAAATCTAAAATTACAAAATTATTTAAGCCTTGTTAGGGATTGAGTAGAGAAGTTTATAATGTATTCATTATATAAGATTTTATATAGTAATGTTTTTCAAGGAATATGGTAAAATTAATTTGTCATTCTTTTGTTTCCTTTATTTTAGCTTCCCAGAATCAAGAACGGTTATGTGCATTTAAAGATCCATATCAACAAGACCTTGGGATAGGTGAGAGTCGAATCTCTCATGAAAATGGGACAATATTATGCTCAAAAGGTAGCACCTGTTATGGCCTTTGGGAGAAGTCAAAAGGAGACATAAATCTGGTGAAACAAGGCAAGTAATACTTTTCTTATCTGAAGTGACTTTGTGTTTTATACAATTAAAGTTTATCTAAAAAGGAGGTAGATTAAAACCTTTTCCAGGAACATCTGCTTGAGCATTATGCTCTTTTAAGTTCTATCGATATGGGATCAAATTGAGGTAGTGAGTTAATGTTAATGGGGGAGGAACAACACAGAAAAGGAGGGTGAGAATTGTTGCACAACTTGAAGAATGTAATCAGTGTCACTGAATTGTACATGTGGAAAACTGTTGAACTGGTGTATGTTTTGCTGTGTATATTCTCAACAACAAAAAATAAAATAATTTTTTTTTATGTTAAAAACCCTCTCTAGGAAACAATTTAAATGTATATATCCATGTATGTATTTACCCACAAGCCCCAGATTTACAAAGGGCAATTGTTTCTTAGCTTATTTTAGTAATATCTTTCTTATTATAATGTTAATACATCCTCATTGTATGATGTTTGGAAAGTATAGAAAACTATAAAGAAAAAAGTTTACAATTCTGATTTTTTTTTAAAAATTATTTCTTTCAGGCGTGTTTTCTGTGAACCTCGATGTTTATATATGTGTGTGTTTCTTTTTTCATATTTAGGATAACACTATAAAAACAAATCTCATACCCCTTTTTTCTCATCTTAAATTATATCATGAGTATTTTCCCATGTCTTTAAATATTTACTGAAAACATTTTTAATCTCTGCACAAAATTTCATTGTAGACATGTAATGCAGTTTACTTATACTTTGTTGTTGGACATTGTATTATTTTTAAGTTATTCGCTATAATAATGCTGCATTGAACATCTTTGAACATAAATGTTTATTTTTTATTTTTTATTGTGCTTTAGATGAAAGTTTACAGCTGAAGTTAGTTTCTTATACAAATATTTATACTCATATTGTTATATGACCCTAGTTGCAATCCCTATAATGTGACAGCACACTCCCCCTTTCCACCCCAGGTTTCCCGTGTCCATTCAACCAGCTCCTATCCCTTTCTGCCTTCTTGTCCTGCCTCCGGATAGGAGCTGCCCACTTAATCTCGTGTTTCTACTTGAACTAAGAAGCACACTCTTCACAAGTATTATTTTATGTTTTATAGTCCCGTCTAATCTTTGTCTGAAGAGTTGGCTTCAGGAATGGTTTTAGTTCTGGGTTAACAGAGAATCCAGGGGCGATGTGTTCTGGGTTTCCTCTAGTCTCAGTCAGCCCACTAAGTCTGGTCTTTTTACTAGATTTTGAGTTCTACACCCTACTTTTCTCCTGCTCCGTCAGGGACTCTCTGTTGTGTTCCCTGTCAGGGCAGTCATTAGTGGTAGTCGGGCACCATCTAGTTCTTTTGGTCTCAGGCTGATGGAGTCTATGGTTTATATGGCCCATTTGTCTCTTGGGCTAATATTTTCCTTGTGTTTTTGGTGTTCTTCATTCTCTGAACGTAAGTCTTTGATTATATCTGATTATGTCTTTGAAATAGATTCCTCAAAGTAGAATTATCTTTAAGGCTCTTCATAAAAACTGCTGTTTGGCTTTCTAGAAATGCTTATATATAATTTATATTTCTTCCAGCACTGTATGAGAATATCTGTGTTACTGAATCCTTGTTATGGTTGTGTTATTATTTTTTAAACCTTGAACAATTTAATAGGTACAGACAAAAATGAGATCTTACTGTTGCTTTAATTTGTATTTCTTAGATTAATAATGAACTTAAACATTTCATTAATGGCTTGTGTGTGTGTGTGAATGCTTGTGTATTTTTCCATTTTTCTGTTTCTTAAAAGTGTGCCTATTGATTTGCAAGAGTATGCATAGCTTAGGTATACTCACTATTCACATTTATTGAAAATATTTCTTAGATGTTGTTTTCCTTTTGGTTTTGTTTGTCATATTGTCTCCTAACTTCTTTACATTAATATTGATTTGTAGGATGTTGGTCTCACATTGGAGATCCCCAAGAATGTCACTATGAAGAATGTGTAGTAACCACCACCCCTCCCTCAATTCAGAATGGAACATACCGTTTCTGCTGCTGTAGCACAGACTTATGTAATGTCAACTTTACTGAGAATTTTCCACCTCCTGACACAACACCACTCAGTAAGTAAAGTAACTTATATATTTTATAATTCCTTTTTCCAAAGATTTGAAAAATATAACAATATTCAGCATTGCCAGAGTGAGAGAGAGAGAGAGAGAGGGTCTCACCATCATAGCACTACATCTACAAACATCTGAAATCCAAAAGAGATGTACCTCAGTCAGAAATAAATCCTCCTGTCCTAATGAGTAGCCATGGTACTCAGGAGGAACAGTCATTGAAGTAGTTGTCTTTCTTTAGCAGTTTCGACTTGTAACTTACCTTCCTTTAACTTTTCCCCAGTCATTATGTTGGCAGGCACTAAATATCAAGTGTCCATATCTTGGGCCCCCTATAAAATTAGGGAAAATCTGATAGACCAACCACATGACCGTAAATGAATATCTGTAACGGTACTGGGCCACAGACTCTCACAGTTTAATCATTCAAGGATTAATTTGACCTAGATTTAGGGAGGTAGACAAAGGTTACTCCATTCACCTCTAGTCTTTTTTTTTTTTAATTAAAAATTTTGTACATTTTTATAAAACAATCTTAACGTAACTTCTTGAAACAATCAGATAGGGCACAAATAAATGAAATCCCTGCAGACAATGCATTCCCTCTGTTTGTTTAGGCTGTTTCTTAACAAGTTTAGCAGAATGGGAAGTCTCCTGATGCTTTTGTTGAGACATAATGAAATGTCTTTTTAAAAGTAATTAAATAACATAGCAGTTAATTATTAATGTTGGAATGGATATATGGGCATTGTTGTATGCCATAAAAATTAAAATTCTATTTATGCTATAGATCACCGATGATTTCTGGCCACAGTAAGGACACTAGCTCTGAGTCATCAGAAATAAACCTTTGTTTTCCCCAACCTCAGCAACTAGGGCTTAAAGTATGGTTTATATGGTATGTTCTTCCTATGAGGAAGATTTATTACCATTAAAAAAAAGAAAGAAGGAAAACAAAAAGAACTTTCGATATTTATAAATTCACGTCATCTCATTTGCTGTAAGCCCTAGTAATTCAGGTCTGAGGCTACCATCAGAGGCCTATAGCATGTGCTCAACCAAGAGAACATTATCAGATAATTCTCCAAGACAAAACTGGCTAAAGAGATTTATGGCTTTATAACTCACATCCTATGCCTTTGTAGCTCAATTTGTTCAAGGATTTTCTCTTCTGATGAGTCTGTGATCTTCAGAGTTATTTTTCTCTCTTTAAGGGGATAGGAATCATAGACTGCTTTCATTATATGAGAACCTTAAGAAATATTGGGCAGTAGTTCTGTACATGTTCAGTACATAATTATAAGTAGACCTGGCTCTAGACAAAATTGTGGTATTAAGGAAGATGAGGTACTTTTCTTTCCTTGAGATATTATTTTCTGAGGCCTTTTTTTTTTTTAAGGAAACCGTTTCTCTATTGTGCTCAGTGTCCCTATCTGACATGTGAACTTCTCCAGGCACTACCCTTCCTTCCTCCATTAACATATCCTGTTCTTAGTTCTATTTCCCTCTAGGCTTAAGACATTAGTGATGGATAATAATTTAATGTGCCTTGATTCCCAAAAATATTTGCATTAAACTGAAGATTCTTGTTGTTGTTATTGTTGTTAGGTGCTGTCGATCCAGTTCTGACTCATAGCAACCCTGTAGGACAGAGTGGAACTGCCCCATAGAGTTTCCAAGGAGTGGCTGGTGGATTTGAACTGCTGACCTTTTGGTTAGCAGCTGAGCTCTTAACCCCTACGCCGGCATTCTTAGAGAATCTTATTCTAGATGAGATAAATCTGTTAGTGAAATTTTAATTCACTTTATCAGGGTTATAGAGATATTAGACTGTGCAGCCTCCCTTCAGTAAAAGTATAAAGAGAATCTAGGCATTAAATATATGGTGATATCTAAACTAGCTAAATAACATTTTTGAGTACTCATTATGTGCCAGACACTGTTCTGAGTGGTCTGTATGCACTTAACCTTTACATCTAACCCTTACAAAAACACTACGAGATAGTTACTGTTGTATTTCTAGTTTACGCTGAGATTACTGCGACACAAATAAACGTAAAGTAATTTTACCAAAGTCATGCAGTTAATTGATAGAGCCAGGATTCAAACCCAGGTATTCTGGCTCCAGAGTTATGTGTCATTAAGCTTCACTCTTTCTACTGCCTCAGGGGACATTTTTGTGCTTGCTTGCTTGCTCACTTGCATGCTCACTCACTCGCTCGCTCGCTCGTGGAGGGGGCAGAGAAGAAAGTTTTTTTAAAAAATACTTGATCACATTTCCCACAGTTCAAGGACCCCTTCAGGATTTTCACTATATCTGTGTACCACCAAGTATTACAAAATGTTTTCTATATTCACATGACACATTATTTTATTATTTAATATTTTCTTTAAATCATCTTATTTTTTAAAAATATTTTAAGTATTTTAAAAGAAAACTTCTCATCACAACTGTAGAAGGAAAGCTAGTATCATGAATAGAAATTAACTTTAAAGGTAAGTATGATGAAAACAAAACCATATTGTTAACTAGCTTGATATTATTGCTTGCCAAAATATCTGAAACCTGCAGCTTGCATTCTCCGTGTTAAAAGAGAATAGTAAATGTTTGAGAAGTAATAAAGATAACTATCACCAAATTGAGACTTTCTCCTTGAATAGTCAGACAGAAGAAAGAAAACTAACTTTTGCTAATATGGTCCACGTACTACCTCAAACCAGAAGTCTGACACTTGAGGAAGGTGAACTAGATAATGCTGACATCTCTTCCAACCAGGAGAGTATTTGCAGTACCTACTCTGTTTAAGCAGAAAAGCAGTCTTTATTTTAAGTTAATGAACTTATTTCTATAGTATCCTTTTACCTACATATACTTTTAATTCATCCTTATTGTGTTTGTAAATTCTCTGTTTCTAAGAAGTATATACTTATTGCAAGCTTTAGACTCTTACGTTAGAACAATTTCTTGATAAGATTTCTGGAATTGGTATAATTAATCTTCCTAATTATAAATTAAACAAGATAATTAAGTCACTACAAAAGCAGGCAAAAATGTGTGTTTTTCTTTTATTTTTATTAAATAAATGTACTCCATTCTATTCAGTGCTTGAGGTTCTTGGGTGAGAGTCAGAATAAAAATGTGGAATACTTTTATTTTCTTTCATTTACATTATTCATTAAGTTGTTTGTTGGATCAGATGAGAAACAAAGATTGAATTGCATCTAAAGCCAGGTTTGAGAAATCACATTCTAATTTATGCTGTGTTAGTAAGATTAGAAATTCTAATTTCACTGTCTGGCAACAAATGTCTGTATCTCACACCAAATTAAAAAAGAAAGCCAACATTTTATTATTAGGAGAGACTGTCCTTAAGTCTTTTAGAAATCAACTCTTAAACATGTTTCTTAATTTAATTCTCCTTTTATCAGAAGGATAATTTTCTGCTGATTTTTACTATATATGAGAGCCTATATTTTGTGATCTTTTTTTTATTTGAAGGAAGGATTGTTACTGAGTTTCCTTTGAAACTTACTCAGTTTCCTGTGTCCTACTAGTTAAGAAACAGAACAAAGAGAATATTTTCTGCATCTTTTATATTCAGGAAAAAAAAGAGCTATAAGAAGTTATTTCTGACGCAATGGATATCTTGCTTTATTTTTCTCAAGTGTTTAATTTAAAAGGTTTTTAGCAATGAATTAAGTAGGTAGGTAGGTATGTCGATAGACAGATAGTGATAGGCAGCATTTGACATGGCTGCCAGTAATCCCCATCTCCTGGTATTCCCAACCTGTGTAATCCCTTCCCCCTGAGTATGGAATGGACCTAGTGACTTGCTGCTAACTAACCACATATGGCAAAAGTGATGTATCTTTGTTATCTAGTGCTGCTATAACAGAAACACCACAAGTGGGTGGCTTTCACAAACAGAAATTTATTTTTTCACAGTTTGGAAGGTTAGAAGTCAGAATTCAAGGTGAATTCAGGTGGCTGTAGGGGAAGGTTTTCTCTCACTTTCATCTCTGGAAGAAGGTGCATGTGTCTTCTTAGCTTCTGCTCCTGGCCAGTCTTCATGTGGCTTGGCATCTCTCTTGCCCATCTCTGCTTCTTTCACTTGTTTGTTTAATCTCTCTCTCTTTTTTTTTATTATCTTTTTTTTTTTCTGTTGTACTTTAGGTGAAAGTTTACAGAGCAAACTAGTTTCTCATTAAACAATTAATACATATACTGTTTTGTGACATTGGTTGCCAACCCCATGACATGTCAGCACTCTCCCCCTCTCGACCTTGGGTTCCCCATTACAAGCTTTCCTGTCTCCTCTTGCCTTCTTATCGTTGCCCCTGAGCTGGTGTGCCCATTTAGTCTCATTTTGTTTTATGGGCCTGTCTAATCTTTGGCTGAAGGGTGAACCTCAGGAGTGACTTCAGTACTGAGTTAAAAGGGTGTCCAGGGCCATACTTCAGGGGTTTCTCCAGTCTCTGTCAGACCAGTAAGTCTCTTCTTTTTTTGTGAGTTGGAATCTTGCTCTACATTTTTCTCCAGCTCTGTCTGGGACCCTCTATTGTGATCCCTGTCAGAGCAGTCTGTGGTGGTAGTGTTTAATCTTTTCTATCTCAAAAGAGATTGACTCAACACACCCTACACTAATCCTGTCTGATTAATATAACAAAGACAGCCCATTCCCAAATGGGGTTATAACCACAGGCATAGAGGTTAAGATTTACAGTACATATTTTGGGGGGGGCACAGTTCAATCCATAATGTGATAAGACATCACTTCCCTGATTAGGTTAAAAAAAGACTATGACTTCCGTCTTGCTGGTATACTCTCTCTGACTCTTCTTGTGCGCTTGCTGTGATGAAGAAGTTCACCTGGCAAGGAACTGAAGCTCTCAGTCTTAACAATCTGGGAGGAACTGAATCCTACCGACAATCACTGAATGAGCTCAGAAGTAGATACTCACCCAGTTGAACCTTGAGATGACTATGGCACGGGCCCACA